AAATGAAAATTCTACCTCATGGTGAAACGGACGAGTAATAATCAAAAATCGTTCCTATTCTGTTCACACGTAGTTCAAAAGTTAAGTGGCAACGAACAGCGTATGGAAGCTTCGTAAAGCACGGGAGTCATATCGAAAAAATAAAAATTGTCAATTACATAATTCGTTTCAATTTAAAAATTCAGTGAGATCATTGTAATTGACAATTTTCGTTTTTTCAAAATTAGAATAAACTTACAAAATTGATTGGAGTATGAATGAATAAAAAACAAAATCAATTAAAATGTTATAAAATAAATACATGAAAAGCTGTTGTTAAAAGTCCTCTTATATATTTATTTTTTAATATTTTAATTTTGTTATTTATTAACATTCCAATCAATCATGGAAATTTATTTTGATTTCGTTTTAACGATTTCGTTATTATGACTGAAAATAACTTAAATGACTAAGTAAAATTGAAACGTCTCATATTATTGTTTTGTGTGAATAAATTTAATATTTCATTTCTTTACCAATTTTATCTCTTATCTTCATTTTTATTAATCTTGATTTTATTTTATTTAAATGATTTATATTCATCACACACAGATACTATAACGATACTGTCACCAACCGTTTGTATCATCCTCTGCGAGCTGAACTTAGCCGACGACATTTACAATACGATAGTGCAGAACAACAGATCGCTACCGTGGATGAAAGTCTGTCTGCGAGCATGCAGTATTTTAATTACCCTGTCGAAGTACTCCTACACGAGAAAATATGTTCTTAAGGTAGAAAAAACCGGTGATTTATCTTCCTTCTATCATTATATTCAACATATCATTTAATAAAAAAAAATACTTCACGTTAATTTTTAGAAAGAATATGCATTGGCATTAGTAAAGCTTCTGAATGGATCACTTAAAGATAAGGAAGTATTTCTGCACTGTGCTACTTTAATATGGTTGCTTAGCCAGAATGAAGATTACGCGAAGGTACAGCTTGCTAAATTAAGCTAAGAATAATTTCTAAATTCTTAAATAGCACTTGTCCTGTATCCTATATATATTTTTGTATTCTTAACCCTCAACTACATGTCTCGAAACGAGTCTTAATTTACATGTCCGGGTCCAAGTCACCCATGACTGACTAATTATCACAAATCCCAATGGAAAATATTTTTTTTTCTAAATGAAATGCCAGAATATATAGAATCAAAAATCAAAACATAAAAAAGGTTTTGGTAACACTATGGAATACTTGATTTTGTCTTTAGCTTGCAAAGTATTATTTCCGAAGTATTTATTGACGCTGAAAACGATGCTGTCCTCAGAATTTGCCTAGCACATCACATTTCTGAGAAAATTGGGATAATATAGGTGAAAATTAACGATTTTATAATGATATTGCAGTTAAGGAAATTTTACCAATTTTTTGTACACTATCTTAAAGTGCTTTTTTTTTATTTCTGTATGATTTTTTATGATCAAGTTACGCGGGTTTGAAGTTATCATCGTTTCTGAAATTTACTCGAAGAAGCTTACTCAGGCTACGTTCCAAAACGTCCTTTTCGAGGAAAATTTTACTTGAAGCATATAGTACATGTAACGTATACTATAATATATTGAGTAAAATTTTCCTCGGAGCGACGTTTTGGATCGTTTCCATTCCGGTGGTGCACTCCAGAAACACATGTTGTGGCTGAATGATCTTCTAGTAACTGTCATGCTAATCTCGGAATGTCAAGTCTAAAACCTTGTGTACACGATGCTAGAAATTGGTCCGAGATCTCGGAGAGAGAAAGAATTGACCAATCGCATTGATCATGTGACTAAATTTAAATGTGATTGGTTAATTCTTTCTCTCTCCGAGATCTCGGACCAATTTCTAGCATCGTGGACACAAGGCTTAAGAAACACAAATCGAAATATGACACTTGCTAGCTATACATGATTAAAGCCGGCGGCACACGATGCTTGTTGATTTTCTTGCTGGATTGCTAGCTAGAATAGATTTTTGCCATCATATTGGCTGCGATGCTGACACTGTCAGTACCGCAGCCAATATGGACAAGATTCTAATCCAGCTAGAAATCCAGCAAGAAAATCAACAAGCATCGTGTGCCGCTGGTTTAAGAGATACGTAGGCCGGTATTCATAGTCGATTCTTATTTCAAGACCGTCTTAAGTAATGTCTTAATACGCTAATGTGGCTCTCTTATTGGTTCGTAACACCTCAAGGCTGAACTTGAGATGATCTTGAATATAAGAACTGACTATGAATACCGGCCGTAGTCTCTCGCAGTAGTGTCTCGCACCAAGTGAACGCGCAACGCGACAGCGCGAGGCAGCGTATGCCTAACTTCAAATCCACGTAACTTGGTCATAAAAAATCGTACAGAAACAAAAAAACTCATTTTGGAGGTAAAAGATAGCACTTTAAGATAGTGTAGACAAAATTGGCAAAATAAAATTTCCTTAACTGCAATACCATTCTAAATATGACCAAAATCGTGTCATTTTTTTTTTGGCCTATTACCCGATTTCGCTCAAAAATGTGATAGAATATTTCTGATCACAGATTCAAATTCAGCGGCCAAAAATCTTCGAGAAATGACATGCTAAAGACAAAAAAAGTCAAATTTTGTTCCTCAGTATAATAATTGAAAAAGTTATGCCAAAATAAAGAACAATTTGTGAAAAGAATGCAATAATCAGTTTTTTTCCAAAAATAATATCTTTATAATAAAAAAAGATAGAAATAAAAATAAGTAGTGTTTTGAAAAGAAAAAAATGTGAACTTTAAGAAAAAAAATACATTATATTGATTCCAAAAAGTGTAATTATTTGCACGAGTGAAATAGAGGCAATTTTATATATGCTCAGAATAATATCGGAGGTATGTCGGGTATTTTCTTTAAAAATGCAATGAAAATATTTTATATCAAGTATATAAGGCGATTTTTGGCGTGCTTCTGGTATAGCAACCAAAAGCAACCGCGACTAAGGCTACTTCGTTTTCAGGGATTAGAAGACAAAGATAGCCCCAACCGCGGTTGCTTTTGGTTGCTATACCAGAAGCACGCCAAAAATCGCTTATTATGATTTCGACATTATATTTACTCACGATTTTATAGCTCCGAGAAAATAGAGCGATCATTTTGTCAAGACGCCTCTCGCAAAAATACTTTTTTTGACAATGGATATATGTTTTAATTTTAAGAAGACAACATATATACTTGAATACAGCACTAATAAATAGCCACTTCTAAAACGAATTTTCACTTTCGACAAAAATCTGTCAAATTTACATTTGACGGGTCCAAGTCACCCCAGCCAAATTTTTATTGCATCACAGTTTATTAGCATCAAGACAACAACAAAACAATTACATTACGGTGATCAACAGAGAAAGGTTTCAAATTTTTTTACCCTCTCACTTTAACTCTGCAATATTAACTGTACAAAAATAGCAGCCGACTAAAATTTTCATTCGGGTCCGAATGACCCACTCATGTAGTTGTGGGTTAAATTTTTTAGTCTTTCAAATCCTTTAAGTATTTTAATAATTTGTTTACACACTTTGAATAACTTTTTGTATAGCTTTACTCTGACTTCTTCCTGTTTTAATATATTTTTCAATGTTTTTTCAGGGTATGGCAATATGTCCACAAATAAATTATCTAATGAAAAATATTCAACAAAAAATCTTGAAGGACGTCATAGTGGCAAAACTCCAAAAATTTAAGGACCCAGAGAAATTATATCCCAATTGTGAACCTGATCGAAATAATTTAGCAATGCAGAAACCGCGTCTGTTTACCGACATGAGTATTGCTGTTACAGCTATTGTTAAAAGAATTTGCATGTGAAACATCAAAGTTGGTAAATTATATATATTTGTTATATTTAAAAAATTCTGTTTGCATATAGTATTGATCTGAATGTTGATCAATGCTTAGTAGATTCAAATCGTAAAAATGTAAGCGGTAAGCTACAAATCTGAACTTTTTAAAGAGATAATTAAAAAATGCGAGGATTAGAAATAAGTGTTTCGAAAAGTATTTATACATATTTGCAATAATTTTAAAATATGACGGTAAGATATTTTTTAAATATGATGAAACTACAAATGAAGAAGCTGACAATATCAAATAAAGTCACAAAAATCAAGAAACAATTAAGTTTTCATTCTATTTTAATAACCGACTCATTCCTAAAAACGTGGTAGAACGTTGGCAACGATGACAACTCGATCGATTATATATTATAGTATAGTACAATAAGATATAAATGTAATTTTTATTTACACAGTAAATTATTTACTCACAAATAAAATTAATAATAATAATGCCGGGATGATGATGATAATGATGACGATGATCATAATAATGATGACAATATGACAGTGATGATGATGATGAAGAATTATAATTACATAATAGTGATAAAACCGTAATTAGCAACAGCAGCAGTAGATTCTATTAATGAGTGCTTTCTAGCAATGAAATAATTATACACTGTATGACACAGTAATACAGAGTGTCGACCTATAACTGAAACATTGATTGCATTCAGCAGAGAAAACTAATCAGCGCTTAGTGGTTCTTTAATATGATTGGTTTCTATACTTACAAGGGAAGTTTCACAACTGTCCGGAACCGATTTGATTCTCCATGAAATATATTGTTAAACACGAAAATCTAAGAGACACGTAATTTTTTCTACATGCGCTAACTCATGTTTAAGGAATGAAACATGCCTTTGAAAAAAAAAACGGTATTTCTATTTCGAGCCGAATACTGTTGGAAGTATAAAAAATAGAAAAAAATTTTTTAGACACAAAAGTTGTACAATTTCAAGAGTACTTCAATGTTATGAAGAAAAAAATTTTTTTAATTTTTTGGTTTAACATTGTTAAACAAAAAAATTTTTTAAATTTTTTTTCTCTTGAGACCGTACAACTTTTGTTTAAAAAATTTTTTTCCATCTTTTATATTTCCGACAGTATTCGGCTCGAAATAGAAATACCATTTTTTTTTTCAAAGGGGTGTTTTACTCCTTAAACGAGTTAACGCACGTATAAAAAAATACGTATCTCTTAGATTTTCATGTTTAACAACATATTTCATGGAGAATCAAATCGGACAGTTGTGAAACTTCCCTTGTTAGAGTCAGCAAAAAACTAAAAGCAAGAACTAATCATATTAAAGAATCATTCAGCGCTAACTAATTAATTTTCTCTGCTGAACGCAGCCTCGCTTAGCTTTTTTATTTCATAGCCAGAATGAAATAAAGAAAAAGGTTTCATATCACCTATGTTCGAATATATTCAAATATAATCTTAAACTTAATACACCTCTTATCGAAATATTACTCCTAGGAAAATAAATGGTAATGAAATATAAAAATTTGATATTTATGAAGTGATATAAAACAACAGTCGAATACAGCATCTTAGCTGCATGTTTATGTTGACTTGTGTTACAATTGAAAAGTATGGAAGCGTATTCTGTGTTACACAGTGTCACTTGTAAACATTGCTGGAAAGCATCCAATGATGGTAGTTAGTCGTAGCGGTAGCAATAATTGTATTTCCTTGACTTAATTATCATGTACAGACTTAAGTTCTTTGATCTGCTTAATCAGATACGCTTTTTCGTCGTTGAACTGTTCGTCTTCGGAACGATCCGTGTGGAAGCGCGTCAGGAACTCGATCAGCTTCTCCTGATTGCGGAGCAATATGTCTAGAATAGGTTTTGGTTTGTTGGGATTCGCCACAAATACCTAGACACAATCAGAAGGGATGAATAAAAATAATGATAGGGCCATGGGAGTTGGCGCAGAACTCAATGCGCAGACTTAATAAAACTAGTTATCTTTATTTAGTTTAACGATATTAGTGTTAATAATTAATACTTGTATAACTCAAATAATCGTACGTTTCGATTCCGAAGGAATGAAATTCGTTTTAATCTATCTTCTCTCTTTCGGTAAAATCGTTTCTTACGTATTTTTTGAAAATGACTACTTGAGAAAAAACGAATTTTATACTGTAATGTATCAAGTATTGAAAAACTCAAAAATACCCATATGAATTTAATATTAATTGCGAATTAAAAATTCAAGTCAATATTGAGCGCTATCATACCTTGAAAACATGAAAAGCCTCAAACTGTATATTGCGAGACTTTTCCTTCAGCATGTTCATCATCAATTTTAAATTATCTGGATTTGATATATATCGTGTCATAACCTATAACAATTTTAATATGAGAACTAATTCTAATAATAGATTGCTATTATTTGCCGATAGCTTCTCACAAATGCAATAAAAGAAGATTTCAAGTCGTCAGGAAGTGTAGACAAAAATTTCTACTTGTATTTTTATTACTATAGATATTGCAATATATTTCTAATTATCGATATAGTAAGCAACTTGATTATTCTACTAACAACACTTTTGACAAAATATAAGTACAAATGATATATTTCAACTCTAACTTGCCATCCTAGAATACAACGTATTCTATGCGATTTTTCACACATTGCTAACTTTTTTCTAATATAATTTGAAGAATCTTATTTTAGACCATACATGTGAGAACACAATCAATACTAGAAATTAAATGCCTATAATGGTCGAAGCTGAATCTTTAATGCTTAAATAATTCAATGTGATACATATATATTATATATAATACATATGTATGTACATGCATCTATACCACATTTGTAGTCATTCAAACAATAATTTGAAGACCTAGATTAAGGAAAAAACTTTAATTATCCGTAGATACGACAAGCCTGCAGATAATTTTTTTTACGTTACTCTCAACATGAGAGTAGTGCACGAAAGTTCAAAGAGGGAACCGCGTATGGTCAGTTCGTAAGTTTTCGGTGTTCTGGGTACTCCTTCATTTTTTATTAAATATATGTTTACGGGGTTTTGGGTTGAATAAAAATAATGAATGTGAGAGGGGTCTAAACTTAACATTTACCATTTTATGTAAAGATCCATCGAAAAAGCCTGGTTTCATCAAGATTGAACGTGAGGGGGGCTAAACTTAACATTTACCATAAATACATGAAATTATAGAATTAAACAAAATTAAGAATTTTGCTGAATCGTACATTTGAAAGTTCAACAATAAGAAACAGAAATAATGGTCGTAACGATCAAAGCTAGATCTATGCTTAAATAATTCAATCTGAATTACTATATATACAATACATGTACTTGCATATATACTATATTTGTAGTCATTCGATCTGCACGCCGAATTGGTTTTCCGGACTTATAAACGCAATTAAATTACTATAGTAATATCGCGAATTAAATTGACAAGCAATTTTAATAATTCGATGCTCAATCAAGTATCATATTAAAAAGATGTTGATTGAGCATCAAATTATTAAAATTGCTTGTCAATTTAATTCGCGATATTACTATAGTAATTTAATTGCGTTTATAAGTCCGGAAAACCAATTCGGCGTGCAGATCGAATGACTACAAATATGATATACTATATATGCAAGTACAGTATATACAGGGTATATATGCATGTACAGTATACAGGGTGTCCGAAAAGTGTGGAAACGGTCGAATATCTCGAGAAATACACATCGGATCAGAAATCTGAAAATATAGTATTCAATGTTTTACCTATTACAAACATTTTTTTGATGACAGATGGCGCTGTAATCAGCGAAATTAAAAAATGAATTTTTGGATTCTGACTTCACATTCGTAATCAGCGATCCCAAAAACCCCCGAGTAACAAGTTTCAATCGAATTCGGGCATATTTTTTGCAAATTTACTCGCCGTACGTAAAATTTCGAAAAATTTTGAGCTTATAGGCGCCATTGTCAACTCAAAATCGAAAAATGAAAATTGTACAGTACACGTTTTCGAAGTTTAACTATCGGGAACACGTTTCTGATACCTTATTACATACAAATGGACCTTTCGATACTTGTCTACGTTCTTTTCTGCTAATTGTTGGGGGTTGAAATCCATGTCGAAATTCAGCACATCTCGGCGTTAAAGGGTTAATACGACTTTTTCTACAAAAGCGAAATCTGCAATAAAACATGGGGGTTTTCTCATTAAAATTTTAAAGTTACCTACCCTTTCACCCCCAGCGGATGGTAGGTGGGGGATAGAATTTTTGTATCAATGGATAGCTTTCTTGAAAACATTGAATACATACATTTTTATTTTTTTGATCCTTTGAGTATTTCTTGAGATATTTTAAACGTTTTACTCATTTTTTATTTTCGCTGATTACAGCGCCATCTGTCATAAAAAAAATGTTTGTAATAGGTAAAATTTATGTAACTTTTTCTGAAGAAGCGAAATCTGCAATAAAAAATGGGGGTTCCCATTTAAAATTTTAAAGTTACCCTCTCTTTCACCCACAGCGGGTGGGGGTGGGGGGGTCGTGTTAGATGTCAAAAGATAGCTTTTTGAAAACATTGAATACGATATTTTCAGATTTCTGATCCGATGTGTATTTCTCGAGATATTCGACCGTTTCCACACTTTTCGGACACCCTGTATACAGGGTGATCCGGAATAATTCAGGTGTCCTTGAAAAGACGTATTCCTGACTTAATTCTAAGACGATTTTTCCTTTACGAAAATTTTGTCTGAAGCTTAGTTTTCAAATTACAAGAGGAAATAGATAGCGTATCACGGGCCTCGTACAGGATACGGGCAGGAGCGGCGCTCACGATATGACGCGGGCGCTTTACGTGCGGGGCGCCCACTGATCGGACGCATTCACGTTTATAAAAACACGTTCGTTCTCACCTTTTTCCTCTATTGCACTATCTCTTTGTCTTTCACATACTTTAAATATGCAAATTTCGTTAAGTTATAAATTAGAATTATGAAATTGAAGTAAATATTGAACCCTTTGAGGATCGTCGGATTGTTTTTAAGTACTGATAAAAATTGTTAGAGAAATGTTGTAAAAGAGCGAAATTGAGCAAAAATTACGAGCAATAAGCATTATAAAACCATTATTGATAAGCAAATTGATAATGCAAATATTTTGATACGTCGAATTCTAAGAGCGTTTCTCACAATTTGACTTATTGAAATACTTGTTGGACTTAATTGTTAGTTAATAGACGTTATAATACTTGTCGCACGAAATAAAAAACGCGATCATGTTTCTTATAAGGAATAAATACTTCAATCGAAATAGCGCCGATAAAATCGTTAGAGAAATCTTTGTGAAAGTGAGAAATTAGACAATAATTTCGTACGACAAGTATATAACGCCTATTAACTAACAATTAAGTCTTTAACTAACTAACAAACAAGTATTTCAATACATCGAATTGTGAGAAACGCTCTTAGAATTTGACGTATCGAAATACTTGCATTATCAATTTGCTTATCAATAACAGTTTTATAATGAAAAAAAGTTAGGTTGATTTATTATACGTTATAGTTTTATAATGCTTATTGCTCGTAATTATTGCTTAATTTCGCTCTTTTACAACATTTCTCTAACAATTTTTATCAGTACTTAAAAGCAATCCGACGATCCTCAAATCACTGTTAAATCTATAGTGCCAAATTTAACCTAACGTGAGTCGCCACTGCTCCTACTAAATACATCATTTTTTACCAAAATGATAGTTAAATTTGACACTATATCGTGTCAATTTAACACTGTATCTATAGTGTCAAATATAACCATTGTTTTAGTATAAAATAACGATATGATTGAGTAGGAGCAGTGGCGACTCACGTTAAGTTAAATTTGACACTATAGATTTAACAGTGAAGGGTTCAATATTTACTTCAATTTCATAATTCTAATTTATAAACGTAATTTGCATATTTAAAGTATGTGAAAGACAAAGAGATAGTGCAATAGAAGAAAAAGGTGAGAACGAACGTGTTTTTATAAACGTGAATGCGTCCGATCAGTGGGCGCTCCGCACGTAAAACGCCCGCGTCATATCGTGAGCGCCGCTCCTGCCCGTATCCTGTACGAGGCCCGTGATACGCTATCTATTTCCTCTTGTAATTTGAAAACAAAGCTTCAGACAAAATTTTCGTAAAGGAAAAATCGTCTTAGAATTAAGTCAGGAATACGTCTTTTCAAGGACACCTGGGTCCGGATCACCCTGTATAGTAATTCAGATTGAATTATTTAAGCATAGATCTAGCTTTGACCATTACGGTCATTACTTCTATTTCTTATTGTTAAATTTTCAAATGAAACGATCCAGTAAAATTCTTATTTATATTACACGTCGCTTGAAAGAAAGACGTTTCCATACATATACTGATTATTGTGAAGAATATTACTAAGGTCTCAGTAGTCTAATGCCCGTATTCATAGTAAGGCCTTATATTTAAGGCTTCCTTAAATTTATCTTCAGATACTCTACAAATTATTTCATTGGCTACTGAGCATCTAAAGATAAATTTAAGGAAGCCTTAAGTATAAGGTCTGACTATGAATATGGGCATAAAGGCTTAGGAGCATAACGCTCATATAGAATACAAGAGATCCGGATTCGACTCCCGGCCGAGGTAATTTTTCGCAATAAATTTATTTACAGTTTTTCAGCATTAACATCTTTTTAATATGATGCCTGATTAAGGGGATCCTAAAGTGAAGCCCGAATTCCGATGAGATCACTGTTTTACTGATAAAATGCGATACATCGACATATCTTTATATATACTACTACATCAATATCGCACTCACACATACGTATAAATTTTCTAACTAACTAATCTTTCATATCAAATATCTAAACCTAATTATAAGTACTCAACATTGATTGTTCATGTAATTTCTAGTCCAGACTAAGAAATTGTTTTATATGTATGTACGAAGTATAAAACAATTATATACTTTATATTCATATATAAAGCAAACATTATTACGAGTAGACGTTAAAAGTCGGTAACAAAACTGTAATTTTCCACTTTTTTACGTTTTTGACATAAAGTCGACTGGTTTGGACTATATTATCGTTTATATTTTAATTATGGAGAAGGATTTTTTTTAATCTGTAAAGGCAGTTAGAAAAATACTTGTTTGGAAAAATTGACGAAATAGATTCACTTTAGGATCCCCTTAAGCATCAAATTATTTTAAAATTGCTTGTCAATTTAATTCTCAATATTACTACAGCAGTTTTAATTGTGTTTATAAGTCCAGAAAATTAATTCGATGCGCAGTTCGAAAGACTACAAATATGGTATACATATATGCAAGTATATGTATAGTATATGTATATGGTAATTCAGATTGAATTATTTAAGCATTAAAAATCTAGTTTTGACCGTTGCGACCATTACTTCTATTTCTTATTAAAAAAAAATTATCTCGATATACAGAGTGCCTCTGCATATAGTGCTAAAACTGTTGCTACAGCGCGGCTTTAGCACATGAAAACAAATCGAAAATGTCTAATAAACATATGTCCAATTCCGAACGGTTTCGGAATTACGGAATATTATTAGACACTAAGTCTTTTATTGCTGTACTCTGAAACGGTGCAATAAATTAAAGGAAAACAAACGTATATGAAGGGCACTATTTATATTTTGAGCCTTGGCAACACTGAGTGTTGTCAGGTGCCATCTGACGTTTCCACTAGAAAGTTTGACATTTTTGACCATAACCTTCTTCAGAACGTTTTGTTATTTGAGCGCGATTTGTATTGTTTACAGTCACTTGAAAATTGTGTCTCAGCGAAAAAATGGAATTAACTCGTGAAAATTTTCGT